TTTTTAAATCACTCGGATCTTCCTTGTCATCGTATTTGAGCTCTCGAAAGATTCCTTGAGTACCATTCGAAAGTCCTAGTTCATACGCAATGTTATCGGTGAGAAGCACAGGCATGTTTGGTACCAAAGGTAAGAGGCCAGGAAGAATTTCAGTCTTATTGTCAGGTAAATGGACGTTACTTCAAAATTCGCTTGTGGCAACTAATTACCAAGTATTACGTCACGAAAAATTGAAAAAAAATTTATACATCGTACTGATACGCTTAGCTGTGGCCGAAAATGTTTTTCTCAAAGACTATAAAAAAACTAACCTCGGATTCGAATTCCTCCACCCAAAAAAAAAGCCCTAGACCATACTTTTAAGAAAGAGATTTAGATTATTAGTTTCATCTGATTTTTCGACCAATCAGTGAAGTGTGGACACACAAGCAAGCAAACAAACAGGCAAACAATTTATGTTTCTAAGACTCTTCTCTACGAAAAAGAGAACAGCCATGGGTATCGACCAAATTCACTCTAATTCCTCCGGATTCTGGATATACTGTTTTCGATTTTTAAACGGATACCCGGGGTAAGGATATTATGACATCACTCAATTGACTAGCTAGTTTATGGTCATAAAGTGTTTCGATTGATTTCATAATTCTCCAGTATTTTGTCCTGATATGGCAGGAAAGCATATCCGTGAGTATAGCTAGAATACTGAGTATTGTCAGGACTGCTACATGCGACCAGTTATTCAGATTGAACTGGTGGTGGTTATCCAGCATTGTCTTTATCTCTGTTTGATGATTATAAATTTGTACCTTACAAGATTACTCGCTGCCGCGAAAATTGAGGCACCTGAACTCTATGAGAGGAGTAATGCACTGAGCGAAATGTAACTGAGAACGAGAGTATCATGCATTTTGTAGCGTTGAAATAATATTGATGTTGATATCCGTTGCTTTCTCTGATGGGATGACTGCACTTACCGTTGCGCGCAGCCTTTTATATTATTTTTTTCCTTTTATTTTGATACTGTGCTTTTTTTTCTGTATAAGAGAAGGAGAAAACATGGGGCATGCTGTACTATTTTATTCTTTTCTGTACATGGGTCCCTGTATTGGGCGCATTCATAAGAAATATATTCGAATATTTTAGTTGTGTTCATCTTTTCTTTTTTTCTTCTTCTTTTTCTTTCGCGATACGTGACTTTCTTTTGTCCATTTCAATGAATGCTAGCTATAAGTTTATGTATGATTCATATCTTTCGCACATTTTTCCTTAAATATTGTAATTGTATACTGTCAACAATAAAAAACAAAACTATGTAATGTTAGGTTTTGTTTTTTCTTCGAACTATTCATATATACGCATTAAAAAAAAATCATTTCTCAGGTTTCATGCATTCGTCTTGATGATTATCTTTGATTGCTTTTCATGTTTACATAGAATATCGTTGACATGACGTCGAAGAGAAAAGCGTAGACTGTTTAATTATAGATTGATATTGTTATCATTTTTGTATAGAATGATGACGGGACGGCGGGAAGAAATGTTTTAAAAATAAATTATCGTTGGTATAGTCGACAGGGAAATCAGTCTCAATCTATCTTTTAGATAAAAATTTCTTCTACAATGGTTGAGGTTATACCAATGGAAGATAGATACATAACTCAGCATCAGTCTACCATCAATCTGCCGAATAATACCAATATAGAACTAGAGGAAAAACATCATTCTATCGAAAGTGTCAAATATGTATTATTTAAACGATTGTTTATTTGTTTTTCTGTTTTTCTATTCGTTGGAATATCAACAACTGTTGGTGTACTCATCGTTTGCTTTACTATAACAAAATATCAAAGTAAATTTTCAAAAACTTTCTCTTCATTTCCATATTCCAATTGTTTGTAGTCCCAATTTGTCTTCCAACATATCAACCATTACTCAAACAGCCAATTCAAACAAATTCCTTGACATGTTCAATAGCAACAGGTCATCTCAATGGCGATGATCATTTAGATCTCGTTGTTGCTAATTATGGTTCGCATTCCATTGGAATCTTCTTTGGATATTCAAACGGAACATTCACTAAACAAATTCCATACTCAACAGGAGTATTGTCGTTTCCATCGTTCGTTGATGTTTTTGATATGAATAATGATACTTTCCCGGATGTGATTGTTGCGAATTATGGAATTAATTCGATTGGAATTTTTTTCGGTCAGGGAAACGGATCATTCAATGATCAAATCACGTTCTCAACGGGTGTTTCTCGTCCATTGTCATTCGCAATTGGAGATTTGAATAATGATCAATTTGTTGATATCGCTGTTGTTAATTACGGAACGCAAAGTATTGGAATCTCATTCGGATTACAAAATAAACAGTGGTCATTGCCAGTGGACTATTCGACTGGATACGATTCTCATCCAACGTCACTTGCAATTGGTGATTTGAATAATGATCAAATTCAAGATATTGTTGTGACGAATTATGGCATCAGCAATCTCGGTTTATTCTTTGGAATTGGAAATGGAAGTTTTCAACAGCAGAAAATCTTGTCAACTGGATCACAATCTCAACCATATAGTGTTGTTTTGCATGATTTAAATGCCGATAATTATTTGGATTTAATCGTTGTAAACGCTGGAACGAACGTTGTTCAATTATTTTATAATTATGAGAATGGTACATTTCAAAATCCGGTGATTTTAAGTACGGGTGACGATTCTGCTCCACGCGATATCACTGTCGGAAAGATGAATGATGATAATTATCTGGACATTGTAGTTGTTAATTCCAAGAACGATACTGTCGGTGCATTTATCGGGTCAAATGATGGCACATTTGGAAGTATGAGACGATTTTCAACTGGATATCAATCGAGTCCACAAAGTATTACCATAGCAGATTTTAATGGCGATAATCAATTGGACATCGTCGTTGCGAACAATAAATCGAACAACATTGCTCTTCTTCTTAATACTCCAAGTATTGATTTCCAACTAGAAAGTAATTATGAAACAGATGATTGGAGTACTTCTTGTGCATTGGCGGTTGGCGATTTTAATCATGATAATCATTCGGATGTTTTGGTTGGAATTTGTAATATGAATAGCGTTATTATCTTCTTCGGATTTGGAAATGGAACATTATCATCTCCTACACTGGCTCTAGAAACTGATAGTTTTTCGCCAGTGTCTATAATTACTGGCTATTTTGACAATGACAATCATCTTGATTTCATCCTTGTCGATTCCGGTGCGAACACCGTCAGCGTTGTAATCGGATTAGGTAATGGAACATTTGAATATTTAAATTCATACTCAACTGGCGATTCATCCCAACCGCAATGTGCAGCTGTCGGGGATTTTAATCATGATCTTTATCTCGACATTGTTGTTGTTAACAAAAATACCAACAATATTGTCATCTTTTTAGGATCGGCAAATGGAGCATTTGAAAATACTTTTGCCTATTCGACGGGTGATTCTTCTTGGCCGAGTTATGTCAGTGTTGGTGATTTCAATAATGATACTTATCTTGATGTAGTTACAGCTAATTCTGGTTCTGATGCTATTGGTGTGTTTTTAGGTCTTGGTAATGGATCATTTGCCTCACAAATGACATATCCGGCAGGAGAAAGAGCGGCACCGACCATCGTACGCATCGCTGACGTAAATAATGACGCTCGCTTGGATATCGTTGTCAATCGACCGTGGAGAGATGCGATCATTTACTTTCCTGGCAAAGGCGATGGAACATTTGATGACTCGATTAATATGTACGCTGGTTATCAATCTGTAACTACAACAATTGTCGTTCAAGATTTTAATAACGACAAAGTTCAAGATATAATTCTAGGTTATTCCAATCATAATTTTATAACGATGTTCGAAAAACATCCGGATGGAAATTATGAAACTTTACATTATACGATTGCAAGTACAATATCGGGTGATTCTATTGTGGTGGGTGATTTCAATGAAGACAAACGTTTAGATCTTGTTATAGGATTGAATAATGGCGTATTGATTTCAATTGTACTTGGATACGATGTGGGAACATTTGGTAGTCCAGTGGTCTTCTCCACTTCCTACGCATATCTTCCATCATCAGTGATCGTTTTTAACTCTAATCAAGATAATTATTCAGACATCGTTGTGTCGAACTTTGGAAGTGATACAATCGATGTCTTTTTGGGCGATTCAAAAAGAACTTACACACAAAAACAAACCATTTCTCTTGCTACGAATTCTCATCCATCGATGATTCGTTCTGGTGATTTGAATAACGACGGCGTTTCCGATATTGCAGTTGCCAGTGCTGGAACAAACCAAATTGCGCTGCTGTTTGCAAATCAAATTCAAACGTTTTCAACGAGTGACAACTCTCAACCATCTAGTTTAGTTATCGGAGATTTCAATCATGATAATCAATCGGATATTGCTGTTGCAAATTACGGAAGTAATACAATCGGCGTTTTACTTCGATTTAATGTGGGATTCTTTGAACCGATATCGTTGGCTGTTTATTCCGTGACTGAAAGTTTAAGTATAAATGATATTCAAGTGGGCGACTTTAATAATGACAACATCTCTGATGTTGTTTTCGTTAGATCGAGCTATAATACAGTTGGCATCATTCTCATATATTCTAATAAAACGTTTTCGAATCCCATTCTACTGAAGATCCAGAACAAAGCTCAACCGTCATCTATCGCTGTTGGTGATTTCGATAATGATAAAAATCTCGATCTTGCTGTTACGAACTATTATTATGATAGTATTGGTGTATTCCTCGGCTATGGTAATGGAACATTTCAAAGCGAAAAAGTATATCGGATTTATATTGGATCGAAATTACCGTCACTAGCTGTTGCAGACATGAATAATGACTCTTATTTAGATATCATCCTTAGTTGTACAACTCCATATACTTTTGGTATCTTTTACGGTCATGGTGATGGAACATTCGAAAATTCAGCAACGAGACCAACGAATACCCGATCCACACCGATATCATTGGTTGTTAGTGATTTCAATAATGATCAATATATGGATATTATTGTTGCGAATACAAATCCTGATCGAATTGGTATTTATTTGGGACATAAAAATCGAACATTTGATAATGAAATTGGATTGTCAACATCTCCTGGACTTTCACTAAAGATGGTCACGGTTGGTGATTTAAACAATGATGGACAATTAGATATTGTAGCTGTTAATTCAGGAAATGCTGTCATCGTCATTTATTTAGGAGATGGAAATGGAACTGTCAAAGATCCTATCTTTCTCTATAATGGTGTTGCATCGCAACCTGTGCATGCGACTATCACAGATATAAATCATGATCAAATAATGGATATCGTTCTTGCTTTTAATATAGAGTAAGTTGAGAAAGAAATTCGACAATCAAATTCTCTTCATCAGTGCGTATTGCTTTAGTAATATCAATGGAGCATATCTGGGCTTTGGTAATGGTCAATTCTCCAACATAATTCGTTTTGGAGATAATCGATTTTATAATCCTCAAAAGAATATGTTTACCCATTTGAGTAATGGTAATCTTCTAGGTGACGTCGTATACGATTATTATCGTATTTACGTTTTCTTTGGATATCCTGCAATTGGTTATCTTCCTGTGATGACATATTCAACTGGAAATCAATCGTCACCACGATCCATTGCAACCGCAGATGTCAACAACGACCAACATCTTGATATTGTCGTTGCTAATTCAAATGCTGGTAATATTGGCATTTTTCTTGGAACAGGTTATGGAACATTTCGTAGTCAAATGACTTTTCTAACTGGAAATAATTCAATGCCATATGCTGTATCGATTGGTTACCTTAATAATGACACTTATCTCGACATTGTTTTTGCGAATCATGCCGAGGAAAATATCGGAATCTTTTTTGGATTAGGAAATGGAAGTTTTGCACCCAAAATTACCTATTCAACAGGTTTCTTATCCGATCCATACTCATTAGTTTTAAGTGATTTAAATAACGATACTTACGTGGATATTATCATCACAAATCGCCAATCAAATAATCTTTGCCTTTTGTATGGGGATGAAAATGGAACATTTGTCACTCAAACAATCATCCCTGTTGGTTACCTTTCGTATCCAGTATCAGTCACTGTCGATCATATTGACAACGATAGTTTGCTTGACATAGTCTATGTCGATAATGGCTATAGTACTATAGAAATTATGTCTAAAACGTGTTCAAAACTGAATAGAAGATAGAATTTCTCTTTGTACATATACATATTACATTTTTAATCTTTATTATAAATCGATTAGGAATATAGAGGAACAAAGTAAGACGTATCACCAGAGATGTCCACAGAGCGCTTTTTTTTGCCCTGCCCTGCCCTGCTATCTCAAAAAAAAAGTACGCCCTGTCCTGCCCTGCCCTGCAGGGCAAACACATTATATAACCATGACTATATAGTTAGTATCTTGCGCAATATAATCGATAAAATTCAACATATGTAGAGCTGATAAATAGGATAGCATTCGATACATATACGTAAAAATAAACTTAGCAAAAGAATATTACCAGTTTTATTAAATTTATCTCATAAAAAAACTAAAATAAAAGGATTAGTGTTATTCATTTTCGATTGATCCTCATTTCCAGTATGACTT